TATTTTAATTAAAATACATAAGTAAGAATATTTATCCGCGTATAATACTACCTCCCAACTTTATGGATGATTTTATGGATTAAATTTTACGCATTATACTTGAATAAATACGGTAATCTAATCTGAGCTGTGAACAGTAACCAGCAGCTCACGACACAAACGGCTTAATAAACTTCAGAAAATAAACAAATCTCTGGCTTTAATAAGCAAAAACATTTAAAAAATGATGTTGAATTCATTTCAGTGATGCAAAACAGAAACAACCAAACGTCTCCAGAATAAAATAATAATAAACTCAAACTGAACCTCTCAGCTGAAGTCTCACTGAATAAATCAAAGCAATGATTCTACGACGCAACTGCCTGCCGTACRCTGGCCTCTCACTGTGAGCAAACAGGAAGTGATTAAATAACATCTGTCGTCTGAAATTAATAAAGTCAAATAAAAAGTTGACTGACGGAGCAGCTGATCAACGCTCATCTACAAACTGACCCGACACGACCCGCTGCCAAACTGCTGAGTCATCAAACATTTAATGATCAAATCTGATAAGAAGAAACTGAAGTGAAACATCCACGTTCTTAAAATAAAYCTTTAGAGGTGGAGTTTGACTCCTCAGACAGAAGAAAGGTTCTTTATTTATTTGTTTATTGTTTTATGAGTTGAGTTCCTGTGAGAAGCTAACGGGTCGGAGCAGAAAGATGAGTTTGTTGGACGCAGAGCGAAGGATCCAGCAGAGAAAAGAGTCAGAAGAGAAGAAAAACAGAACCAAGCTGCAGAGTCCAGGCGTCCGTCATGCAGGAGAGCTTTTATCTGGAGTTAGGTCTGGATCCACGGGAGAGACCAGCAGAAAACAAGATGTTAGAGACAGAGAGGACAGAGGGACAGAGGAGGACAAGGAGACAGAGTCCAGTACTGGTCCTCAAGGTCCACCATCCTGCAGGGTTTAGGTCAGGAGGTCTGAGGTTCTGGAGGCACATGCAGGTTTTACATTTAGGTGTTGATGTTGGTCCTGAGTTTAGCTGCTGGTAAACATCTGGACCCATCAGAACCTTTACAGTYAGGACCAGATTGGTCCAACAGGTGGTGTGGAACCAGAGGGGTCAGTTCCAGGTCTTTGGAGGCCACCATCCTGCAGGGTTTGGATGTTCTGCTGCTTCAGAACCTCTGAATTTAACCAACTAAAACCTGCAGGACTGGAAGACCTGGAGGACTGGAGGACTGGAGGACCTGCAGGACCTGAGTTTGCTAACAAGGTTAAAGTTCTGCAGAACCAACAGAAAGAAGCAGGAAGGACACATGAGAGCAGCCAGATGTTTAAAGATTCAGTTCATTTGAAGAAAAACTGCAGAAAATATTATTTTAGTATAAAGACGTGACTAAAAAGATAATAAATAAATAAATAAATAAATAAATAAATAAATAAATAAATATGTAGTGGAGGACAGTCTGGCTACAAACATGTTTAATGATGACAGATGTTTAAGGAACAGACACACAGCAGGAGTACAGTACAGAGCCCAGAAAAGATTTAAACTCCATTAAAAAACTAAACTCACTGATTTTAACTGAATGTTTTAGTCGTTAGTCTGGATTAACTCTGATTCATCAGTTATCAGAATAAACACAATGATCTAATCTGTGGTTTTAAGGAGGTGCAGAGCTGCAGGAGGCTGCAGAATGAACCCCTCCACAGCTGGAGGAGGAGGAGAAGCTGATTGGTTGTTYCGGCTGCTATGACTACAGTTACCATGAAGGAAGAGCAGCTAAAGCAGCCGAAGTCCCTGGAAGGTTCTGCTGGGTCAGAATGACAGAGCTGAGTGGAGTCGGATCAGATTTACTCCTGAGAAATTATTTTTAATAATTAATGAGCCAATCTGCATCATCTGACAGAATGACGGATTAGAGATTAGATTATTAATTTATTCTGACAAASAGCAAGAGGAGTAATAAACAATGTTTATGTAAAAGGATCCAAAGAGGAAGTTAAACTTTTTCATCATAAGAGCTTTTAATTCAAGAATGTTTTGACATCACACATTTTATTCTGGAAGATCAGATTATGTCATGTGGTGTCAGAGTTCTTTTTACTGCGTAACTATGGGTTTTTCACAATAAAATTCTAAATTATGTTTGATAAAAGCATTTTTTTTCAGAATAAAACACTCTGTTCTGTTTACTGTATCAAAGAGGGTTTTTCAGAATAAAACACTGTGTTCTGTTTGATTAGAGGGTTTTTCAGAATAAAACACTGTGTTCTGTTTGATAGGAGGGTTTTTCACAATAAAACACTGTGTTCTGTTTGATTATAGAGGGTTTTTCAGAATAAAACACTGTTCTGTTTGATAGGGTTTTTCAGAATAAAACACTGTTCTGTTTGATAGGGTTTTTCAGAATAAAACACTGTTCTGTTTGATTAGAGGGTTTTTCAGAATAAAGTACCGTGGGCTGTGTACTGTACTTACCCCGTTCCACTCCACGCTCATACTCACTTCCTCGCCGCCGTCCGGCCCGCTCTCGTACTTCACCGTGTCCGAGGTCAGACTCTCGCGGCTCCGCTGCTTCTCTCGGACCTCGGGCTCGTTCAGGACCTCGACCACGCGCTGCTTGTGCGCGTTGTCCAGGCCCTGATGGGTCAGAACCACACAGATTATGACTGGACTCCCAGCTACCACCAGCCCAGACTTAAGCCAACACCTCACCTGCTTCCTGGACCTCAGGGCAGCTTCCTCCAGAGTCTCAGCCGCCTCGAACTTTCCCTGACGCTTGTAGAGCGCGCCCAGGTTCTTCAGGGTGGTGGTGACCGTGGGGCTGGAGAGGAGCCAAGAGAGGAACTTTATTACCCACAATCCTCTGGTAGAAGAAGAACCCTCTAAATACAGTCTGTTTCTAATAATAAATAAGTTTCAGTTTGACAGAAACAAACGGACCTGTCGACTTTACAGGCTTTGTACCAGCCTCCATATTCTCCAAACGGTGAGCCGTCCTTCTGCTTCCCCTGAGAAACAAAACATAAAACACATTCAATAAAGTCTTTAAACCGACAGGAAACTGTTACAGTAACTTCCTGTTTGTTCAACCAACAAATCAAAACATAAGAAAAGGTGATTTCCTCACATTTCCTTTAGAAATGATTTATTTTACAGGTTTTAAACCGACAGAAACGAGCTCAATGACAACAGAGGTATAAAAAATTAAACTTTCTTCATTTGATGAAGCTAAAACTGAACTATTAAAAGATAAAAAGGCAAAGCCAGAGCTAAAGGTTAAATGTATAAAAAGGCTAGGTAAAAGCTAAAAGTAATAAACGGCTAGCCAAAGGCATCAAAAGCTTCATTATAAATATAAAGTGGCTAGCATGAGCTACATGTAACAAAAGGAGAACTTAAAGCTAACAGTTTCAAAATGACAGCTAAAAATTAAAAGTGCCAAAAAATTAGCAAAGTATAAAAGAAGACAAACGTTAGCTAAAAGCTAACAGAAGCATAAAACGATACAGAGTTAGCAGCTGAAACAAACTTCAGAGAACAAAGTGTCTGAAGGACCTGAAGAGCTGAATAACGATRAGCTTTTTGTGCTGACTCAGCCTTAACATGAAAAGCCCAAAGTGCTGACTCAGCACTAACACATTAAGCCATAATGCTGACTCAGCTTTAACACAATAAACCATAACGCCGACTCAGCATTAATGCAGACAGGTCAGTTTGTGGCTGCAGACTCACCTTGCTCTGTTCCTCTCTCTCCTCGGCGTGCATCCAGATCGGTTTGTTCTCATCTGCAGATAAAAACAGGAAATGTGAGGTTTTAACCTTGTTAATAAAGTAAACCAGTGATTTGTGAAGAGTTCTTTGAGTTTGAGTGAGTCAGCGTAAGCCTCAGTGTTTTACCATCAACAGAACCAAACTCTCTCTCGTGAGCGCGGGTCAGGATCTCTTTGTACAGAGTCTCCGCCTGTTTGAACTTGCCCTGCTTCAGGTAGCAGGAGGCCTGAGGAGCAGAACCAACAGGAGACATTAACCCAGGTGAAACCATGAGTCAGCATTAAAGGTGAAAGGTAACCCTCGCACCAGGTTGTTCTTGGTCTTGGCCACGTTGGGGTCATCTGGACCCAGCTTGGTCTGGTAGATCTCCAGGGCCCTCATGTAGTAGTACTCCACCTCCTCGTACTTGCCCTGGTTCTGACACAGCAGGGCCAGGTTGTTCAGCTGCTTGGCCACGTCTGGGTGGTCTTTACCCAACACCTGGGACAGAGGGGCACCAAGAGGACGGGTCAGAACAGAACCACAGGTCAGACAGGAACTTTATCTGTCTCCAACAGGAAGAGACCAGCTGAGAACAGAGATCTGTCAGAAACCTGGACAGTTCAGACGAGTTGACCAGGTCTGGACCGGACGGGACCGGACCGGACCAATGAACCGTTTTAAAGGTTTAGGGTTCCAACTAAAACCCTTTCAGTCAGGTTTTCCTGTTTAAAATGAGTCGTCAGTATTTTTAACGTCTCATTTTTACCAGCAGCTCCTGTTTCCTGAGCTTCAACAGAAAAGGTTCTGACTCAGCAGAAGTCCAGTTACACCAGAACAAGCAGATCTCTCCTTACAGATAAAATAAAAAATATATATATCTTCCTCTCAGCCTCACTGAAGAAGATGTGTGCACTGGATTTATTCAGAGACAACAGGAAGTGACATCAGCAACAGGAAGTGACATCAGCACTGACCCGAGGAAAAAGCTTCTCTCTGGGTCCAGAAGATGTCCTAAAAACTCGGGACAGTTTGGACCTGAAGACATCAAGATGTCAATTTTTCTCTCACCYCACCAGACCTGAGGTTAGCTAACGTCAGTCGGCTGTGGCGGCCATCTTGAATGGGGTTGTGGAGACACGTTAAAAGATTTAATCCTGAACGTTTCATTAAAGTGCACGTGACATCAAATTTTTTGTGATAAACTTGAATGCATTTTTGGAAAGATAACATTAAYAACATACTGCAAAAGAAATTTCACGACACTGAGATGAACGGTGGTTGAGATATTCACATGTGAGGTAACAGGAAGTGATGTCAAAGGGGAATGTCTGAATGTAAACAGAGCGTTGTTAAGATGGCCGACAACCCAGACTGTAGAGAAGAATCTGATGTTTTATTAGATTCTTTTGAGTCTTTATCAGAGATGAAGACGACGTAGAGTTCAAATAGACCAGGGAGCTCCTTTTTGTAAAGAGTTCYCCTTTGATGTCACTTCCTGTTTCACTTTAGCTGAATCAAGTTCAAAAGAAAATATGCCAGTTATGTGACAAACAGGATTAAGTCATGTGTTTTATGCCAAGTTTCTTAAATATAAAATTGTTTTCTTTGACTTCTTGTATTTGAAGTGTATACATGTTGCAGGTACTTTAAAATCCGTCCAGTGGCTCAGGAAATATTTTGCTAACAGTCACGTGAACATGATCGAACTACTTTCATATTAAACGTGTAAAAAAATGTGCTTGGATTTAAAGGAGGAGGAGGACGATGTGGACCCACCTTTTCTCGGATCTCCAGTGCTCTCTTACACAGAGGCTCCGCCTCCTTGTACTTCCCTCTCTTCCCGTACAGAACAGCCAGGTTGTTGAGGGTGGCRGCGACCTGACGGGACAGAACATCTGGATTATTTATCCAGCTGGAAGCATCTTCAGCAGCTCACGCAGAAATCAGCTGATCAGAATCATTCAGGGATCAAACAGGAAGTGGATCTCTGACACATGCACGCAGCGGCGCCCCCCGCAGACCGGCTCTGATCTCTGATTCACACCACCGCGTGCCGGCCGTTCGGACCCAGCGGGCCGCAGAAAAGAAAACGGGTTCAGGGTGGCAGAGAGTGGGCACAGAGTAGGAGGAGGAAGCTGCTCCTGGATTTTCAAAACAAAAGCTCTAAAAACGATCAAAAATCACCCACTCAGCTGCTCCACGTGTCCAAAACATAAAATATTTCTGCCAACAAGAACTCTTCAGGAGGTTTTAGATTCTGGTGCAGATTGATAACAACTGAAATATGACGTGCTTTAATTAACGTTTGAGATAAAAACTTCAACAGGATTAAAGATGCCTGAATCAGACACAGAAATAAAATTAAATGTTTAAATCTGAGTCAGCAGCATGAAGATACAGAGAGGAAGAAAAAAGGGATTAAAGAGGAGAGAAAGAATCAGAAACCTTTAAATCAGTGATGATTTTATCCAGATAAGAGTCTGGGTAACAGGAAGTGAGAGGCTAACCTCAGAGTGGTCCAAACAGTGGAGAGAAAAACCTGCTGGAGTTAAAACACTAAACTGTTGCTGCTGATGTGAACAAACAGGAAACGATTATTTACAAACAAGTTTAAAGCTTTAATTTATTTTACAGCTGCTCTTTATTTCATCTGTAGAAATCAGAGCTGCTTCATGGAAGAAGAACCTCAGCTTAGCCTGTTAGCTTTAGCGTTAGCCCCGATGCTATCACCATATATATGTATTAGCTCAGCGCTACACATTCTCCTCTCGTCACTGAGGTCCTCCATCCACATGACAGAGAGGGGAACACAAAAATGACTCAGACTGCAACTGAAAATAAGGATGGAGGACCTCAGTTCAGCTTGTTTGTAGCGCTAGCGCCGAGCTAATACATATAAGGCAATATAGCGTCAGCGCTAGCACAAAGGCTAACAGGCTAAGCTGAGGTTGTTCTTCCATGAAGCAGCTCTGTTGTCCTCCATCCATATTTTCAGTTCCAGGCTGAGTCATTTCTACCTTCTCCTCTCTGTCAACGCTCTCTGGTTTCATTTAAAAGAGTCGATCATCAGATATTGTCCAAGATTAACCTTCAGGGTGGATATAGCTCGCTAGCAGCCTCGCACCGAGGACCTATCCACGTCATCATTTACCCAGAATGCTTTGTGTGTAAAACAAAATGGCTCCGTCTGTGTAATATATTTTTTAACTTGTAGTTTAAAAATGTACAAAACTAAACAGCCTACAGTATTTTTACAGTCTTTATTTTACAGTTAAAATAAATGTTTATTAAATAAAGTCTAATGTTACAACTAATCAGGATCCCTTTGAAGAAACCCTGAACTCTTATTTTTCAGCCCGACTTCAAGCTGTTTCCTCTTTCGAGTCGGTGTACTCACAGCTGGGTGGTCCTTGCCCAGGGTCTTCTCCCTGATGGCCAGAGCATCGTTCAGCAGGTTAGCTGCCTCTTTGTATTTGTTCTGGTCCCTGACAGACAGAAGACACATTCAGAACAACTCTTCATGCTTTACAGCTCAATAAACTCTGATTTATGGGAGGAAAAGATGAAACAACAGTCCTGAGCGGTCCCTGAGGGTCTTTGGTTTCAGTTCCTGTCTCTGAGGACAAAGACAGGAAGTCTCAGTCGYGTCTCTGCTGGACTCTAAACCTCTGCTTGTTTGGTCTCAGCTGACAGTGAAGACACAACGAGCTAAAGTCTGTGCTGTGCTTCCTACGAGGTTAACGTCTGTAGTTTTGGTGGAATATATAAAGGAGCTGTAATAAACCCACCATCAGAGCTCTGACAGGTTGTCAAAYATTAGTGTCCACTCACTGAACATCGTGATAAACAAACAAGTTGTTTACCTGTAAACAAGCGCCAGGATGTTCAGCATGGTGGCTACGTCTGGGTGGTCGTGTCCAGAGGTCTTCTCCAGGTCTTCCAGAGCCTGTTTGCAGAGGGGCACAGCCACCTCGTACCGGCCCTGAGAGGCGTACTGGATCACCAGGTTGTGAAGGGTCCTGAGGCGGGCCGGGATCTCGTAGCCCCCCTGCTGAGCTGCTGCTGCTGCGGCGCTGCCGTGAGCTGGCTGCACTGGAAACACATGAAACAAAGGAGGTCACTGATCCATCCAACCAACATCCAACCAACCATCATCCATCCATCCATCCATCCAACATCCAACCAACCATCATCCATCCAACATCCAACCAACCAACCTCCATCCAACATCCAACAATCCAACATCCAACCAACCATCATCCATCCAACATCCATCCATCCAACATCCAACCAGCCATCATCCATCCAACATCCAACCATCCAACATCCAACCAGCATCCAACCAACCATCCACCATCCAACATCCAACCAACCATCATCCATCCAACATCCAACCATCCAACATCCAACCAACCATCATCCATCCAACATCCAACCATCCAACATCCAACCAACCATCATCCATCCAACATCCAACCATCCAACATCCAACCAACCATCATCCATCCAACATCCAACCAACCAACATCCAACCAACCATCATCCATCCAACATCCAACCATCCAACATCCAACCAACC